CTGTCTCATATACTACTGTCAGGATATAGTGAAAGTTTCAGTGAATATGACAAAACGTTATTTTTAGAGAAGTTACCTACTGCAGCTTAACTCTGTTAGCTCTGATGGTCCAAGGGAAAAATCTGCCCTCAGACACAATCCAGCAACAAACAAGCAGATGTACACCTGAAATGTATTCTACCAAGAAATAAAAGACAAAAGATATAGAAAGAATTTAGTGTCAGCGAGCCAAAGCCAACAGGTGTGTTTTGATCAGTTTTTTTTTTTTTTTTATGTGACACACTTGTTTGGTTTGGGAAGGTCAGTCATTGTAAACCCTCTCATGTGGAGCTAGAGCAGGGTTGGGCTGCCTGCATGTTTGTAGAGACCAGTTATTTTGTTATTTGATAACTGTGGTTATTGAAGTGAGGCCACGATAAAGGAGGAGTATTTGCAGAGTGAATACACGTGCACACCCATGTTTAATCTGAACAGCATACTTCACATTTGTTTACAGAACTGGTCTGATACCTGTATCCAGTAGAATAACACAGAATAAACTACTGACCACGGAATACAAATGTACAAATGCTGTTTATGCTGGGAAGGATATTCAGAGATACATGGGATGGTTTTGACCATCACCAAAATCATATCTGAGTGACGCTGCCCTGCCGCATTGAGGTGTTTCCTCTCTGTGAGCTGTAAACCTCCTGATAAAAAATGAACTTTCTGGACTCTTGAACAGCATGGCGTATTATGTGAGGTGGGGCAACAGGGCTGTGGGTGTTGCAGGAGTATATAACAGGACGTGTATCTAAGAATAGGTTTGATTGAACACACTCCTCGGGCAGAGATGAGGGAGTGTTGAGTGTGCTTGATGTACCTGGATAACAAGAGGGTAACTTACCTGTGGAGTTCCATACTGAATCAGCAACGAGCCTCAGGTGAAGGAGGATAAATCAGGGATTAATATGACTTTAGGATTATGAAACCATGCTGGTTGGAGAATATGATTAGATGACTAACTCGTGTGTGTGTCAATTTCAGGAGTTTCACGAGAAGAACAAAGGAAAGGCAGTGACAAAGACTAAGTCTGTCTCTCCAGGAATGGTAAGGGAATAAAATGGCCTGTATCATTAAGCCTGCTGTAACATTTATTCAGAAATATAGATTTAAGCCCCAGTAGAAGGACCAACCTATAGTTTCTCCTGTGGTAACCATGCTGTACGTTTGCTTCTCTTCCCTGTCAGGATGTGGGGATGTTGGAGATCCCTGCTGAGCTGTCAGCCAGACTTCGCAGTGCAGCAGGTCAGCATTATTAAAAGCTGAATGAGCCTTCCTAAGTCAAGCCGTTGTTAGATCCCGAGTCACCCCTGTATAGGTGGTACTGGACCAGCTCTTCGTTTAAAGGGTCCGAGCCTCTCGCCTGTGGGTATTACCCTGCCAGGTTCAGAAGAGGACTATTTAAACTGGTGGCGAGGAGACACGCCTAGCTTCTAATTACTACTAGCTTCATCCGAATGCCTACCCTGCTCACTCTAGTGCAGCACCTGACCAAACAGCTCTCCTCTTATTGATCTGTGCACTTGGTAGTTGCTTTTGATATTTTTAGTGGCTTGGACAGTAAGCCCCAAAGGATCTGTTTAATTTATTTGGCTAGAGTAACCTGTACAGCCTTCAAGATGTTAAACACACTATCTAATAATTATTGCTGTAGAGGATGACTTAATCCAATGTCCCTTTAATTTCTTTACTACTACGATGTTATATTTTATTATTTTATTTTATTGCAAGATCAGAAGGGCTAGCTCAGTAATAATCGTGATTAATGATTTTCACTCACTGATACGATCATTAGTCTCTGATATTAAAAATATTGTTTAAATTTAACCTGCCGGAGAAGGCTGTAGCTGGAAAGTTAAATGGTCCAATTTAAAGAAAACAGAAGGAAGGGGTGTACGGCCAATACAGTCTCTTTCCGTGGCCGTACTGTTGGTTGTTGTTTAATCTTTGTCCAAAGTCCGGCCACAGTCTCTGCCATGCAGTCTTCTGATGGCAGGTGAACAAAGATAGTGACCTTGGTGATCATTTGAACCTGACGCGAGTGGAATGGTTCTAATCCCTTCTTGCCACGTTTGTTTCGGTTTACTTGTTGGTTCTCTTTCTGATTTGGCTGTTTGCTCGTTCTTGGTGAAATTTAAGTCAAGATGAGTTGCTTCCGATGTGGTCGATTCGATCCGCAGTCTTGAAACCCGAGAGCGGCCAAAGGCTAACCCAATGGGTGTTGTTTTCGAGTGTTTCTCTTGCTCATCTACATGGTGTGTCCTGTGTGTGTGTGTGTGCGCTCACTTCCTTTTCTCAGCACAGCATTCGGTTTGCTTACGTGCTTTTTCAACCTATTTCACACTCCACACTTCAACATGATTTGTCTTGACCGTTATTTTCATAGTTCTGTCTTGACTTACTTATGCATTTCTTCTATCTAATTATCACATTATCACTTACGATCATAAATATGTTCCTTCATTCGTTACATATTTATTTTGTATATAGAATCAATCTCAATCACTTATACAGCTTTTGCTTGCATTATAATTCTGTGCATATATATTCAGATGAGGAGTCCTAATGCTTCCGTTGTTATCTTCTTCGATTCTCGATGGAAAGTCCTTTACTTACTTGACACCCTTTTTTGCTCTGTGCTTCAGTGACAATTGAGAAAGCCTTGGTCAGAATCTTGGTCAACTTCATCCTTTCCTTTACTTACTGTTTATTCCATTTGAACTGGGAAGTCGGTCTTTCTGAGTTCGGAAGTTGGAAATTTTTAACCAGAATGCCCCCTGAAGTCAGATTTCCAACTTGGAAAGTCGGGAGAACCTCACCTACCCTGACCTCGAAATCCAAGATCCACTCTGTGGACATGTTTGTAGGAGCAAAAGACAGCGTAATTCGTTGGTATCGCTAACAATGGCTAATGGCTAACCTGGCTAGAGCTTGGTTTAGCAACTTCTTTTTCTGGAACACAGTCAACTCGGTGTGATGTCATTCCCAACCCTGACTGCCAAGGTAAATGGAACACACCATTAGATATGCTATGTGCTATACTTGTCTATGTTAAAATTTTAAAGCTTGTTAAAAGATAAAGGGACATCTTAAGTTAGCTAATGTTAGCAAAATGCTATATATCTAGCTAATCTAGATCAATTGTTTGCTGGCTAATTAGCCATTTTGCAACAGACAAAAATGCTAACTATCTACTCTACATAGCAAAACATTAGCTAATAGGCTAGCAACTGATTGATGTAGATTAGGTAGCTATTTAACTCACATTTCTCTGACATTAGCTCATTTAAAAATTGATCATATGTCACTTTTATCTATTAACCAATGTGTTAAAAAAAAGTTGGTTGTCTTTTCAACATAAATTAGCCTAGTACAGAGCATATTTAAGTAGAGGAAAGGAGAAAATTGACCAGGGTTCCAAAAGGGGCGGGACTTAGGGAGGGTCCATTAGAATATTTATTTGATAATACTACTATCCTCACATATCTGCCACCGTGGTGTCAGTTTGTGATTGTTGTTCTGTTTCCCATCAGGGAGGCCGCCATCATCAGGTGTGACAGAGGTCGCACCTCCACAGGTGAAGGCAGAACACAAGCTCACCCTGCCTCTGGATATAGACAGATACCCATTCTCTCGCTATGCCAAGTCCATATTAAAGGTGAGTAAGGTTGAAGCCCACACATGCACACATTCATAATCAAGGATACAAGGTAATTTACCCATTTTACAATGTAGGGTTGTATACTGAAATTCAGGTCAGAGTTCACCTTATGGTATTCGTGAAAACAAAATCTATATAAATTACATGCAATAAATTTTATTAAGGCTTATTAAACTGTAAATCCTGCCACACATTACACTTCATTGTGGTTTGAGGAACCAGCTCTCACCTTATATTGGATTGTATTTCCTGTCTTTGTGAGTTTCCTCATGTTGTGTCTTTCTCAGGATACATGGTGCCAGCCTCAGGGATACCCCCTCCAGAGCCCCCTCACCCCTCTGGAGCCTGAAGATGCCAGAACTGCCCTGGAGATTTACAAACTGGTATAAAGGAGTAATTAGATTTGATTAGATTAGATTACATTAGATTATTTTTAAATCAAATTTATATATATTTTGTTTTATTTTTATTCTTATTTTTGATTTTCAATCATTTTCTCCTCAGATCTTGCGTTTTACAGGTGAGTCAGACCTCACTGGCTGGCAGGAGCAGATGTTGGGTAACTACATAGTGGAGAAAGGTCAGAGCCGGCCAGCCTTGAGGGACGAGATCCTGGCGCAGTTGGCCTACCATACGTGGGGTCTGCAGGAGGAGCACGGTCTGAGGGGCTGGTTGCTGCTCGCCTGCTGCCTCAGTGCCTTCACACCCTCACCAACGCTGGACAAACCCCTGCTCAAGTAGGTGCTACACTAGCGGTTAGCCTTCTATTACCAACTGGGGTTATACAGTGGATGGGATATAATATTCACAGGTATGTTTTCATTAGTGTATAATCACCTGTATATAGGAATAGTTGTTGTGTTTTTGTTACCTTAGAATGAGCTCTTTTTATCTACAGACGCAACAGGTTGCCTTCCATGGAGTTCATGTTGACCCACACTTATACAGTACCCAGAATGGAACAACAGCAGCTATAATAGAATTTAACAATGTCGTAAACCTGACTAACAGATAGATAGAGAGTGTTCATTTAGTTGCAATCTACAACTTAACCTTCTGTCTGCACATGACTCATATTACAGTATTTCCTGTGCAGGTATGTGTCAGATCGTGGTCCAGGGGAGTACCGCTCACTGTGCCAACACAAACTGCTGACATCTCTGCAGCTGCCTGCTCCCACTGTCCGAAACTACCCCCCAACCCAGCTCGAGTGGACCACCAACCAGAGGAAGGGCACTATGCTGCTGGATGTGCAAACCTTCAATGGTGAGACTGGCTAAAGTGCAATTCTTAAGTTTTCCCACAAAACTGACCTAATCTCGTTATTGGCAACTCTATTTTATAAACCCATAACAAGCCTTTGGTATTCTTTCTCAGATGAAAAGCTGACGGCTGAAGTCGAGTCATGGACCACAGGAGAGCAGCTGGCCTCGTGGCTTCTTCATTTTAGGTACTCCTCTTCTGAACATGCATGCGTTTACCTCCATTTATTTGTTAATATTTTTACTTCCATATTCCATATCCATATTTCCTGTTTGATCCTGCTACATATGCTAATGTTCATTCTTCTCTCGTGTGTTAGAGGTGTGACGGAGGCGGTGCAGGGCTGGTCGGTGTCTCTCCTGACTGATGAAGGCTGGTCAGACCTGGCCGGCTCAGACTTTGTCATGGATCTTCTGGCTGGAGCTGAAGCTGAAGTGATGCCACCGCCAGGGACTCCCTCCTCTACAAACTCTGACTACCTGTTCAGCAGCCAAGGAGACAGGTAAAGGGGTTAACAAGTAACTAGTTTTTAGGATCAATCCAGGATTGTGCCAACACAGTGAGCATCTCTGTGTCTCTCTCTTTCCCTCCAGAATGCCAGATCTGGATTTCATCCCACCAGCACCTCCAATGCAAGCTCCTGGGCTGCCTCCTTTTGAGGGACGCCCCTGGGGAAGAGATTATCCACAGGAAGGTAAGTGTTACAGTGTGAAGACATTAACATGCTTCAAATAAAACACTTACTGGATCATCAAACAGCATCTGAGACCCCTTCCAGCACACCTTTCTGATGTGGGAACTGAAGTCTTGCAACTGACACATTTTTTTAACTCTTCTTCTTTTGCCTTAAGAGGTGTTCAGCTATAACCTTGCAAGGCAGCTGGACTCCACCAACATCATGCAAGGATCTTGCAGGCTTCAGCTGCACTGTGTCCAACCACGTGGTTCTCGACAATCAGCGTCCTATGTGGAGACCACGGGAACTGCATGAGCTATGGCGTGTTTAATGCTAGATTAAGAAGTGACCGTTTTCTGGAAAACAACAATAGGAGCTGCTTAAGAGAGTTAGCATAGATGCGCTAACATCAGTGCGAGTCAGACTTAGAGTATGTTCTTCTACTCCTCCTCACCCACCAACGCGACGGAGCAGCAACGGAGCGGATCAGTCGACCATACTGTCACCGGCTTCATCATTCTACTGACGTCGCAGCATCGCCCAGATGCTAACCTCTCTCTTAGCAGCTCCTTAATTGTTGTTTCCAGAAAACGGTCACTTCTCTATCTACATTAACTACGCCATAGCTCATGTCAATTGGCCGTGTTCCACAAGGACGCTGATTGTCCGAGCCACTGTGGTTGGACACAAGTGCATAGCTTGAAGCCTCCAAATTCTTTGCATGATGTTGGAGTCCAAGCTGCCTTGCAAGGATTATTAGCTGACACTCTTAAGGCAAAAGAAGAGATTAAAAAAAATGTGTCAGTTCAAAGCTTCACGTCCACATCAGAGAAAGGTGTGCTGGAAGGGTCTCAGATGCTCGTTTGATGGAGTCAGTAAGTTGGTTTATTTGAAGCATGTTATGTTTCACATGTAACACTTACCTGTCCTGTGGATCAGAGTCTCTTCCCGCAGGGCGTCCCTCAAAGGAGGCGGCCCAGGAGCCTGATGGAGGTGGCTGGTGGGATGAATCCAGATCCTGGCATTGCTGGAGGAAAGAGAGACAGACCAGGAGATGCTCACTGGTTGCACATCCTGGATTGGATCTAAGAAAGTTACTTTTACCCCTTTACCTGTCTCCTGCCCTGCTGAACAGTAGTCAGGAGTTTGTAGAGGAGGGATCCCTGGCCGGTGGCATCACTTCGCTTCAGCCCAGCCAGAAGATCCATGACAAAGTCTGAGACGGCCAGGTCTGACCAGCCTTCATCATCAGGAGAGACACGACCAGCCTACCGGCTCCGTCACACCTCTAACACACGAGAGAGAATGAATTAGCATATTAGCAGATTCAACAGAAATATGATATGGAATATGGAAGTAAAATATATACAAATAAATGGACGGTAAACCGCATGATGTTCAGAAGAGGAGTACTAACATGAAGAAAGCCACTGAGCCAGCTGCTCTGCCTGTGGTCCATGACTCGACTTCAGCCGTCAGCTTCATCTGAGAAAGGAATACCAAAGGCTTTTATGGGTTATAAAATGAGTCTGCCAATAACGAGTTAGGTCAGTTTTGTGGAAAACTTAAGAATGCACTTTTAACCATCTCACCTTGAAGGTTTGCATCACAGCAGCATGTGCCTTCCTCTGGTTGGTGGTCCACTCGAGCTGGGTTGGGGGTAGTTCGGACAGTGGGAGCATGCGCTGCAGAGATGTCAGGCAGTTTGTGTTGGCACAGTGAGCGTACCCCCTGGACCACGATCTGACACATACCTGCACAGGAATAGCGTGTAATATGAGTCATGTGCGACAGAAGGTTAGGTTGTAGATTGCAACTAAATGAACCAGTCAGTAGTCAGTTGATGACGACAGTGGTGGAAAGGGCCTATTCTATAGCAGTTTTGGTTTGTCCATTCTGGGTACTGTAGAACATGCAGTTCAACATTGAACTCCATGGGAAGGCAACTTTTGCGCTGTAGAGAAAAGAGTCATTCTAGGTAACAAAAACACACAAATATTCCTATTACAGGTGATTTATCACCAATGAAACATACTGTGATTTGATATTCCATCCACTGTATACACCCCAGTTGGTAATGAAGGCTAACCGCCTAGTGTAGCACCTACTTGAGCAGGGGTTTGTCCGCGTTGGTGGGGTGTGAAGGCACTGAGGCCAGCAGGCGAGCCAGCAACCAGCCCTCAAGAACCGTGCTCCCTCCATGCAGACACGTATGTAGCCACGCGCCAGGATTCGTCCCTCAGGCTGGGCGGCTCTGACCTTTTCTCCATATGTAGTTACCAACATCTCGTCCTGCCAGCCAGGAGGTCTGCTACCTGTAAACGCAGATCTGAGGAGAAAATGTTGAAAATCAAAATAAGAATAAAATATATAAAAATTTAAATGATTTAAATATCTGAAATGTTATCTGAATCTAAGTCAAATCTAATTACTCCTTTACGACAGTTTTGTAAATCTCCAGGGCAGTTCTGGCATCCTTCAGGCCCAGAGGGGTGAGGGGGCTCTGGAGGGTGATCCTGAGGTGGCAACATGTATCCTGAGAAGACACAACATGAAGGAAATCAGCAAAGACAGGAAAATACAATCCAATATAAGGTGAGAGCTGGTCCTCAACACAAGAAGTGTAATGTTGGCCAGGAGTTTACAGTTTAATAAAGCCTTAATAATTTATTGAATGTAATTTTATATAATTTGTTTTCACCGATACCATAAGGTTGAATCTGACCTGAATTTCACGTATAACCCTACATTGTAAAATGGGTAATTACCTATATCCTTGATATCAAGTGTGTGCATGGCTGGCTTAACTTTACTCACCTTTATTATGACTTGCATAGCGAGAGAATGGTACCTGTCTACTATCCAGAGGCAGGGTGCAGCTGTGTCTGCCTTCACATGTGAAGGGGGAGGTGCGACCTCTGTCACACCGAATGATGCGGCCCCCTGATGGGAAACAGAAACGCAATCACAAACTGACACACGGTGGCAGATATGTGAGGATTAGTAGTATTATCAATAAATTTCTAAATGGACCCTCCCTAAGTCCGCCCCTTGGAACCCTGGTTCAATTTTCTCCTTTCTCTCTACTTAAATATGCTCTTATAGGCTAATTTAGTTGAAAAGACACC